CTGTGATAAGAAATAAAACTTAAATTAAAAAGAATCACCAATAAAGTGAAAGATCGAGAAAAGAAATGAAATAACATAAGAAAATAAATAATTATAGTTGTGAAACAATCAATTTAAATAAAAATTAAGAGGAAATTAGAATGAGAGGGAAGTAAATAAAAATTTGGAAATGAGATGATGTGAGTAAATAAGGTATGGACCTTAAATACCTTCTCGTTTAGTCTGAATCGAGGAGGGAGGTGTGTGTGTGTGACTGAAGTTCAGCGGACATGGTGAACCTGCACATGGATAGAGTTTGAAACCTAGTTCATACATGGATAGGTGTTTGTGAGTGTGAGTCACCTAGCAAATGTAATTATTGTGGCTATTGTGAGATTTTTTGTGTGTGTATTATCCATGCGATGGAGGGATCTATTTCACCTCTCTTCGATGATTACATAAATGGCATCGCTTGATGAAACCTTAGAAATGACTTTTCGAGTATATATATGATCTTTCATGTGTATGTGGTTATATTTTGAGGTTATGATTGATATTCGAGTGTATATATGTTCTTTTGAGAGTATGTGGTTATACGTTGAGGTTGTAAATGATATTCGAGTGAAATTAAGAAATCCGATCAGAAACATGTGAAAATGGTAAAAATAATAAATAAATTGTGCATTGAAATATTCCTACTGTATTTTCTCATATTATATTTTTTGCATGAAATCTTATCTAGGTTGAAAGAATGAAAATATTTACTGAGTTAAAAAAATTTATTAAATTTCATCTTGATATTTTTCAGAGGAGAAAGAAAAGGCAGAACCGCTGTTAGATGAGTAGAACCTGTGAAATGGTTCCTATTCATGTATATTTTGTGCATATTCAAGAAATTTTCGTTTTGTTTTGTTAAAGTCTAAATTTTGATCTCATGTTTTCTATATAACTATCATATATATCATATGGGATGTTAGATTGTATGATAAAAATTTGAACTATGCGTATGTATATTTTGTGGGCCCATTGCATGAAAATGATATGAATAGAAATTGCACCTCATATCGAGTTTGGGATGTTACATGTTTAGGTATTATATTTACTAGTTGTGTAATACCCGGGCCTGAAATTTGGCTTGAGATTAATTTTAAAATTTTAAAAAATATTTAAAAATATAATTTTAAAATTAATTTTAAAATTAATAAATTTTTATTTATTGTGAAATTAGGAAAAAAAATAGGTTGAGGATGAAATTGAAAACAGTTTTGAGAAAATGGGTGAAAATTTGGGTTCGGATGGTGTTTTTGAAAGAAAAATCAGAAACTATGGGTCAAAACATAATTAAAAAAAATTGTACAACGTAGGATCGCCGAGTCAGCAGTTCCGACGAATCAAAGCGCGCCGCGTGGTAAGGCACACTAACTTGATGCCACGCTGGCAATCTGCGTGCCCGCGATAGGACGGCCTGAAAGCATTCCCACGCGCGTGGATGGTCTGGATCCATTCCCTCCTCAGGTGCAATTGGGACGGTTGCAATTAAATGCAATGAACGACCTAGATTTGTTCTCTTTTTAAATGAGATCGAACGGTCGAGATCAAATTATGATGAACGGTCTATATTTATTTATCTTTAAATGCGATTGGACGATTGAGATCAAACGCGATAAACGATCCCGATTTAAGCGAGACAGGTATAAATATCTCGCATCACACCGAATACAAACCTTAGCCCCCAGCCTCCCGCGGAGAAAAAGAACCAGTCGCTAGAGAAGGGAGCCAACTGCTGCTTGTCGTCGCGCTGGAGCCACCTCCGACCGTCAAAAAATGTAAAATTTCTCTTATCCGCTTAGAATTTAATTTTGAGCACCTTTATAGCCAAATCAGAGCAAAAGGAATGGTGAATGAGCCGAAAACTATGGGCAAAACACCGCGGCACCACCGTAGGCAAAATTTGAAACCGCCTCTGATGAGCCCCTTTTCGTTTTCTGTTTTGTACGATTTTTCTACCATTGTGTTCACCGTTCTGTTTTCTACAGTTTGACAAAAAAAAAAATGCCTAACCACGAAGGTGAGCCGGTGGAGCCGCTACACCAGAAAATTTCGCCGCCGGTAGATTTTTGTTTTTTGACTTTTTTCGACCAATCGAGACCCCCTAACATATTTTCTCGCAAGAATGAGTATAAAATCGGCCGAAACTGGCCAAAACTAGCCAAAAACGGTCAGGTTGAGGTAAATTACCTCTGTGGACGGCAGTGCCACCGTGCCGAAATTTCAAAATTGGCCGAAAAAGGTATTTAACATTAATTTTAGATTTTTTGGGGTATTTTTAGGTGCGTGAAATGTGTTTTAATCTCTGCAATAAAATTCAAGAAACACAAAGATTGCCAGTAGGCGCAGTAGAAAGTTTTGTGTTTCAAATACTGATTCGGGTAAAAATCTCTCACCTTATTCCTTGTTATAGAATTGAAGCTTAATAATCGGTAATATGGTATTTTGTGTAATTTAGAAAACCTTGAGAATAATTACAGGTTACTAATAGAGCCAAAATCAGTTAGTCATTTAATTGTTGTCCTGTATAACTTATTGTTGAATTTACAGCTTTAAATACATGATGATATACTAAAATGGTTAAATAATTCAATTGTGCTTCCTTGATATATATATTACTTGTCTTGCGTGATTTACGGTTGATCTGTGA